GGGGAGGGTCAAGGATGGGACACACACACGCACACACACCTGGAGAGTCTCAGGTGCTCTTACCTGCGAAGCTCCTCCTCTTCCTGGCACACCTGGTGCACAGGTAAGCTCCCAGGAGGGTCCCACTGAGCCCCAGCCCCACCCCCAGGAGTCCCTCCAGCACCAGGCAGGATTGGAGCAGCTCTGCAGGTGAGACAGGTAACAGGTGTGAGGGGGTCACCTCACATCTGGCCCTGCAGCCAGGTGTTACCTGAGCACACCTGGACCACCTCACACCTGTGTTACCTGAACACACCTGAACCATCTCACACCTCACACCTCTGTTACTGAGCACACCTGAATCATCTCACACCTCACACCTGTGTTACCTGAGCACACCTGAACCATCACACACCTCACACCTGTGTTACCTGAGGACACCTGAACCCTCTCACACCTGTGTTACCTGAACACACATCTGGACCACCTCACACCTGTGTTACCTGAGCACACCCGGACCATCTCACACCTCACACCTGTGTTACCTGAGCACACCTGAACCATCTCACACCTGTGTTACTGAGCACACCCGAACCATCTCATACCTCACACCTGTGTTACCTGAGTACACCTGAACCATCTCACACCACACCTGTTACCCAAGCACACCTGAATACACCTGAACCATCTCACATCCCATACCTGTGTTACCTGAGCACACCTGAACCCACTGAGTTCATCACCCAGTCCCTCCGGCCTCCCACTTGCGCTGCCTGAGCTACCTGTGCTCACCTCCCCCTCCCTCCCTTTCCCCTCCCTCCCTCTCACCTGTCCCCCAGGTATCCCCCCAGGTACCCTCCAGGTGGCCCCCAGGCCCCTCTCACCTTCCACCTCTTTGCACACCACCTGTGCCTCCACACCTGCCCCACAGGTACCTTCAGTCAAGCCGTGACACTCCACCAGGTGCACCTCATCCCCTCGACAGGTGAGCCCCTCCATCAGCTCCTCGGGGGCCAGGTGAGTCCCCACAGGTGCTGCCAGGGCAGGGCCACAGCCCACCTGGTGGCAGATCACCTGAGCCTCCCTCAGGCTCCAGGTAGTGCCACACAGGCCACGCCAGGTGTGCTGGGACAGCACCTGTACCTTCCCAGCACAGGGTCTGGTACCATCCTGCAGCCTCACCTGCAGGGGGGATGTACCTGGGGAGAGACAGGTAGGTGTGACGGAGGAGAAACACCTGGGCACACTTGCCCCCTCCCTGAGCCCTTCACACCTCATACCTGTGTTACCTGAGCACACCTGGACCCCCCAGTCCCTACATCAAGGTGTTGCCTGAGCTCACCTAAGCATATCCCAGGCCCCACCTGAGCTCACCTGGACATCCTCCAGGCCCAACCTGAGCTCAGCTAAGCACCCTCAGGGCACACCTGAGCTCACCTGAACATCCCTACACACCTGGTTCCCCCCAGTCCCTATAACCAGGTGTTACCTGAGCAACCCCCAGGCCCAACCTGAGCTCACCTGAACAGCCCTAGGACCCACTTGACCTCACCTCAGCACCCCCAGGACCCACCTGAGTTCATCTGAGCACCCCCAGGACTCATCTGACCTCACCTGTGCTCACCTGAACATCCCCCAGGCCCAACCTGAGCTCACCTGAACAGCCCTAGGACCCACCTGACTTCACCTGAGCACACCTGACCCCACCCCTCCTCCCTCCCCACCTTGTTCCCTGAATCCAGGTGTTACCTGAGCCCCTCCCACTCCTCACTCATGTGTCCCCTGCCCTCACCTGTCCTTACCTGTACACACCACACCTGCATCCTCCCCGTGGCCGCAGTCGTGGTCTCCCCAGGAGTGCAAATGGCACTCGCCAAGCTCTTCCTCCTCACCTGTGCACCTGGTGCCATCCAGCCAGATTGGCCCCTCCCCCTGGCCGAAACGGGCATCTCCAGGTGCTCTCAGGGCCCTCCCACAGCCTACCTGGGGGGACAGGTGAGGGTACACCTGTGTTAGGGACACCTGAGGGGGCTCTCAGGGTCCCCCCATGGCTCACCTGGGGAACAAGGCAGGGCACACCTAGATTAGGTGCACCTGAGGGGGCTCTAGGACCCTCCCACAGCACACCTAGGGGACAGGAGAGGGCACACCTGGGGGGACAGGTGTGGGTACATCTGGTCTGGGCCATCTGGGGGGACAGGTTGCGGTACATCTGGTCCGGGCACACCTGGGGGGACAGGTGTGGGTACATCTGGTCTGGGCACGCCTGGGGGGACAGGTGTGGGCACACCGGGTCTGGGCACACCTGGGGGGACAGGTGTGGGCACACCTGGTCTGGGTACACCTGGTGGGACAGGTGTGGACACACCTGGTCTGGATACACCTGGGAGGACAGGTATGGACACACCTGGTCTAGCGACACCCATGGGGTACAGGTGTGGGTACATCTGGTCTGGGTACACCTGGTCGGACAGGTATGGACACACCTGGTCTAGCGACACCCATGGGGTACAGGTGTGGGTACATCTGGTCTGGGCATACCTATGGGGGACAGGTGTGGCCTGTGAGGGCTCACCTGGCGACAAACCACCTGCGCAGCTTCCATGTCCCAGGTGTCATCGCAGACGGTGCCCCAGCTCTGCAGGTGCAGCACCTCCACACGCCCCACACAGGGGTTGGAGCCGTTGACCAGTCGCAGACGAGGATGAGCTGAGGGAGGGAACGACAGGTGTGAGCACACCTGGGAGATGTCCAGGTGAGGGGACAGGTGGGGTTGGGGTCTTGGGGCCAACAGGTGACCACAGGTAGGTCTTGAAGTCAATAGGTGACCATGGGAAGGTCAAGTGTGACCTCAGGTGGGTCCTGAGGTCAACAGGTGACCATGGGAAGGTCAGGTGTGACCTCAGGTGGGGCTAGGGTTCAGGTGTGACCTCAGGTGGGTCTTGGGATCAACTGGTGATCTCAGGTGGGTCTTGGGGTCAGGTGTGGCACCCCCTGTCCCCACCTCCTCCTTCCTCCAGATGTTCCACTCACCACAGAGGCCCAGGTGGAGGAGGAGCCCCAGGTGGGTGCACAGGTAAAGGAACCTCATGGCTGTGGTGGACACCTGAGTTCAGGTGAGGTCACAGGTGAGGTGAGAAGGATCAAACCCTCCCCACATGTCCTCCCAAGGTGTCTCAACTGCCTCACACACCTGAGCACCCCAGGACACAATTTCTCCCCCCCAAAACCTGCCCCAACTCCCCCCCAGTGTCTCCCAGGTGTGCCTCACCTGTCCCAGCACAGGTACACCTGAACCCTCCCAGGTGCCATTCCCCCCCCTTAAACTTCCCCCAAACCCTCCTCACCCTCCCCAGGTGTCATTTCCATCCCCCAAACCCCCTCAGCCCCCAAGGTGTCCCTCAGGTGTTCCCCCAGGTGTCCCCCCCAAGTGTGACCCCCCTAGGTGAGTATCACCTGTCCCAGACAAGTCAATGTTACCTGTAGATGTGACTTGAGTGCCCCAAAGACTCTTGGTTGCTCCATGT